GCTTTGGACGATCCGAGGCCAGCGCCTCCCAGGGCGCCCCGCCCTCCTCAGCAGCCAGCCGCGGGCATCCGACGCCTTTCGCCGTTGGACGTCCTCATTGCCCCCGAAGAACTTGCCGAGCCAGAGTCGGGCGACGACGGCGTGGAGGACCCGCCGCCACCGCCGCCGCAGGCCCCCCGGCAGAGCGCCCCCTCTTTTGCTCCTTGTTCTCTTGTTGTTGATCAATCTCATGCGATTGGGGGCTCGATTGTTGCCGGCGGTCCTCTCCCCTCCTCCCTCCTCCATCCCCCTCCCTTCTCCTTCCCCCTCCCTTCTCATCGCCTCTCCTTTCCGCTTGCTTGCCCCTTTTCATCAATCTTTCTCCCCCCGTCCTCCCGAATCCTGTCTTCCGCCCACCACATGTGCAGATCGCAACTGAAATGAAATACAATAATAGGCTATTTCATTTCAGTTCCGATCTGCATCTCGTCCTTGTCTCACCTCGCCATGGCGAGCTCGCTGCCGCGCATCGCGAGAACGCCTCGTCGTTTGCGACGGGGGGCCAGTGGCAGGGTCGCCGCATCTGTACCCCCATAATCGGTCTCTTGTGCTCACTCAGGCCCACTCCGCACCGACCGACTCGGGGATCTTCCCATTCGCATGGCCTTGGCAATCATTCGATACTTAGGCTTTGACGCGTTTGGCTACTCTTGGAGCCGTCTTGAAACCTCTTGGAGCCGTCTTGGAGCCGTCTTGTTTGGCCACTCTCAGGACCGTCTTGGAGCTGTCTTGAAGCTTCTCTGAGTTTCTCGGGCCTCCTGGAGTTTCGTGGCGTTGGTGGCATTCCCAGGTCTTCTCGGGGGTTCTCGCGGCATTTCGGCCGGTTGGGGCAGCTGTTGATGGCCCATCTTCTCCGAGCCCTCTCCTCCTCATCCCGCGGGCGCCCGCAGGCTCGCGCTCGAGGTGCCCGCGCTGCTGGAGCAGACGGTGGCGGAGCAGGAGCTGTGGGTGGCGATGGGCCAGGCGCAGGCAGCGAGGAGGGCGAGCCCGCTTCCCCCGCCGCCCCGCAGCCGCCCGAGGCCCCGCCGCCGCCGGCGGGGGCGCCTGGAGGAGGTCGGGCGGCCGCTAATGGGGCGTGCTTTTTTTATGGGGGGTGAAGAAAGGGGCCCCTATGGGGGCGCTTCAGGGCTTTCAAGGGCCAAATGTAAGGGTCCTTTCTTCACCCCCCATGAAAGGTGCACCCCATTAGCGGCCGCCCGAGGAGAGGAGGATTTGGAGGCGGGCAGCGGCGGCGGCGTGCCAGCTGCAGAGGGCGAGCAGGAAGACCCCGCTCCTCCACTACCTCCTCCAGCCGCGCCGCCTCCTGGAGGAGAGGGAGGCTCGGGCGGGGAAGGCAGCGGCGCGCCAGCCGCAGAGGGCGAGGAGGTCGACCCCGCCCCTAAGCGACGGCGGCCAGGGTGGACAGGGATCCAGGGCGAGAACTATCCGTCTTATGACGTAATGAGCAGGTCGTATGGACCAGGTGGGCCAATTAAGATGGGCTGCATCAAAATCAATAGGGAGAGGTGTTCTCTCGACGCCCACTGCAGTAGATGCAAGTTCAAGATGAACCGCAATTGGAAGCCGAGATGGAATCGCAAGATGGAGCAAGTCGGCCCGCAGGGCCGACCCATGGGTTTGCTCATTGCCGCGCTTCAGGTCAGGTGCCAGGGCTCCAAAGAGCTTCACAAGGCGATTGTCGACAGAGGGTTCGATCAAGTCTATCGGTCCGCCTGCAGACAGTGGGGTAGAGAGGAGGACAGTGGCTTGGCAGACCTGTTTGCTTTGAATCTCGAAAGGCCCCGAAGGGTCAATCAGCCGAACCCGATTCACAACGAGGATTCGGATGAACCTGGTCTGGAGCCTTGAATTCAGATTGAGTTGCAAGCGCGCACGCTCGCTTGAACGCCCGCTGGAGGAGAGGGGGGAGGGGGGGAGGAGGAGGAGGGGGAGGAGGAGGAGGGGGAGGAAGAGGAGGATGAACCTGATCTCCTCCAGTTGAATTGTGCGAGCGTGCGCGCACGACAGCCATTGTTTGAGTGTGGTGTACTTGTGCGTTGCGCGCATGCCGCATTCTCGCATGCTGGTATTTTCTATGTAGCGCAGGGCTCTCGGCCTCCTGCTCGTTTCGGGGCTCTGTGCCCCTGCTTGCGGCCGCACCCAGCGCTCATCGAGGCCTCTCCGTCTCGAGGCATTCGCTTGCGTGCCTAACTTGAGGCGCTGGACAGCGAGAGCTCGTGGCAGCGGGGGGCAGAGCAACATTTCTGGCGAGTGCAGGGTCTGGCGATCGGAGGGAGCGTCGCGGCTGCAGGTTTCCCAAGGGCGCCAGCGAGATGCGAAGTTATTCGTGCCGCTGCTCCTGCTGCTCCTCCCCTCCTGCTCGTCTCCCCTTTTTCGTGTCCCTCGGGCCCTCGCTCGTTCCTCGGCTTCTCGGCCCCGCTCGGTCGGTCCCCTTTGTTCGCTCGGGCCCTCGCGGCGCGTCAGGAGGTAGCGCGAAAGGCGCGCCAATCGATCTTGGCACTGTATTTTTTTTGCCCATCGGCTGCGCACTACTACTTCTATCCCCTGCCGGGTTCCGACGGAAGCTTGAACTCTTCGGAGAGCTTTTGGGGGGCCCCAGCGGCTCCAGCTCTTGGGGGGCTTTGGGGGGCTCCAACTCTTGGGGGGGCTTTGGGCGGGGGCCCTCCAACGTCCTGGGCTGCCCGCGGGGTGGCCCAAAGGGATCTCGCAGTGGGGGGCCCGAAGGCGTTTTGGGGGGCTTCCCAGGGCCCAGGGCTTGGGGATCTCTTGGGGATCTTGGGGATCTCTTGGGGATCTCTTGAGGATCTCTTGGGGATCTCTTTTGTTGGGGGGATCTCTTGGGGATCTTGGGGGTCTCGGGGGTCTCGGGGATCTTGGGGGTCTTGGGTCTTCTTCATGGGCACCGCAGGAAGTATGGCAAAAGCGTGCCTATGGCTGCCGCGGGGTCGGGGAACGGCCCTTCGTTGCCCCTCTTTTTAGAGGCGGATTGCGAAGGGCCCTTACCTGGCTGCAAGCCTCCGGGAGCTGCAGCCCCCTTCGGCACGACCTACAGAGGTACGCTTTTGCCAGCCAGAGGACTCCTCCCCCACTCTGTTCCCTCTGTCCACCTTCCGCCTGGAGGGTTGGCAGAGGGGGGTGCTCTTCCGCCCCTCCGCCCGAGCCCGCCTAAACGAGGTAGGGCGGGGGGGCGGAAAGGCACCCAGGAGGGGCGGCCCCTCCCTTTACGGGCAATGCGCCTGAGGGGGCCGCGGGGGGGGGGAGCCTCGCTTCCCTTTTGTTTTTTTGCTTGGGAAGGTGCGCGTTCTGACCGTAATTTCGAAGGGGGAATCCAACCGTGGCGACGACGAGGAACCCTGGGGCCGTGGCCGAAAACCGCCCACCTCCTTCGCGATCCTCCCGGGGCTTTTCGGGCCCCCAAGGCCCCAGGCCTTTGGGCTCGCTCTCTTCGGGCTATCTTACGCGCCGATGGGCTCATTCGCTCGCGGGAAGCGTTGTTTGGTGCCATCACATCACACAACATAACATTTATCACACCATGCATTGCGAATTCCCGACGCTTCGCGTATCCCCACCGTCCCATCCAGGAACGACGCCCAGGCGCGTTGAGGTGATCAGGAAAAGCGGGATCAAAGAAGGGGATCTCCGACGAAGGAGGGAGGAGGAGTAGGAGGCTGATAGATGAGGGAGTGGGGAGAAGGACGATGCTGCATGCATAGGATGATGAGGAAGAGAGGGGGGAGTAGAGGTAGAAGGATGAGAAGGAGAAGGATGGGCGTGGGGCTCTCTTGGAGCCCTCCTGGAGCCCTCGTGGAGCCCTCGTGGAGCCCAAGAGGGGGCCTGGACAGGGCGGGGGGGCTCCCGAGGGGCCCCGGGAGGGGGCCAAGGAAGAATTTGGGGAGAGGAAAAAAGCTTTTTAGACCACCTACGCCCAGAAGGGACTGGTAGGGTCAGGCGCGCACCCATCTACTTCATTCGTCTTCTTCTTCCTTTATTTACTTTTTGTTTTTTTGTTGTTTTCCTTTTTTTTTTTTTTTTTTTATTTACTTTTTTAGTTTTTTTTTCTTGTTTTTGTCTTTTTTTACTTCATGGTGCCGCCCCAACTACTTATCCGTCTTTCCGACTCAATGGCTCTACCAGCGTTCTTTTTTTTTTTTTTTTTTTTTTTCTTTTGTCTTTTTTTTTTTTTTTTCTTTTTTCCTTTCTTTTTCATTTTTTTTTTTTTTTTTTTTTTTTTTTTTTTTTTTTTTTTTGTTTTTTTTTTTTTTTTTGTTTTTTTCGTCTTCCGACTTCATGGCTCTACCAGCGTCTTTCGACCGATTCGTTATTTGGCCCAAGTGATTCAGGGGTTCAGGGCGGTCCCTAGCCTGTGCTCTGGGGTGCTCCGTCCTCGGCGATGACCTTTGAATCCTATGAGCTGTTGAGTTTCTTCGTGTTCGTCCTAGGGATCAGCGTTGGGCTCATGATCGGGCGATGCTGTACTAACCCATCCACCACTCACGTGACTTCCGCGTCTACTGCTACTGCTACATGCAGTACATGCCGTACATGCCGCCCCCCTGAGCCTGAGGGGCCGGAGGGGCACCCCCAGGTTGGCGATTGTGGCGATGCGCTTGAGGAGATGCGCGTTGTGTATATGGCCAAGGGTTCGCAGGTATTCCACCTTAGGCCGACGTGTTGTTGGCTCAGCCGTTCGAAAGATGTACAGGCCATTCCATTGTGTAAGAACTGTGCTCATTGTGCTGCCGAGCGCGCCTGGCCCTTGCCCTTGTGCGCCTGTCGGCGTGTCGAAGAGATGAGAGATGGGATGGGGGTAGAGTTTTGGGTGTTTTGCAGTTTTGGTGTTCCCCTCTCCCCCTCCTCTCCTTCTCCTCCTTCTCCTCTTCGTCATTCTTGCTCGAGCCACCTGCTGACCGCCTTGATTGAGGCATCTTCTATCTTGCTCATTCTCAGGGGCAGCGGCGATGGAGAGATACCTCGTGCCGAGCGCAGCCGATAGCGTCGTGGACAGAGGTAGAGGCCGCCCCCGTGGCAAGGCCCGAGCCCGCGGCAGTGGCGTGGCAGGGGCACAAGCCAAGGGCGGCTCTCGAGGCAGGGGCAGGGCCGCCGCGAAACTTCTGGTCCCTCCAAGCAGCCCTCCCGCATCTGGCGGGTCATCGCCGTCATTGTCATCGCACTCGGCGTCGCAGTGTGACAAGGAGGCGGCCTCCGCAGCCGACGAGCGGAGACGCGAATCCGAGCTTGCCGCGCTGGCGCCCTCTGCAGCAACGGACAACGAGATAGTGATGGCAGGTGGCGCCACTTGCGGCGCCGGCCAAGTCGTGGTCGCCCCAGCCCTTGAGGTTTCGGCGACCGCATCCCCAGTAGGCTCCTCAGCAGAGGGCGAGAGCGGGTCGCTGTCGCCGCCGCTTACAGTGGTGACCGACATCGCACCTTCGTCGTCAGGGGCAGTGCCAAAGCAGGTCTTCGACATTGACATGGCACCCAGCGGGGTGGGCATCGTCGCTGCGGGCCCGCCTGACGGTCAGCCTCAGATTGCCGCGAGCGCTCAGACCGCCAGCTCGGGCGCCACCGTTGAGCCTCGGACCGCCGCGAGCACTCAGCCCGCCAGCGCTGGCGCCATCGGCGTCGCTGATGAACCGCCTCAGAATCAGCCTCGGGCCGCCGCGCACGATCAGCCAGCCAGCGCTGGCGCCATCGTCGCCGTCGGCTTGCCCGAGATTCAGCCTTGGGCCGCCGCCCCCGCAGCCAGGGAGGAGCACCCCCCAGCCAGTGCGGACGCATCCGTCGGCATTCCTGACATGCAGTCTCAAGCCACCGCTGCGCCCGCTGCCCCTGCAGGGCCTTCGCAGCTAGCCGATGCCTCAGGTGGCCGGGTGGCGTCGCCAGCGGAGAAGCGGAGGAAGATCGAGCTTGCCGTTGCTGGCGGGGATAACGATGCGCTCTCTCTGTCCGATCTCTCCGACGAGGTGAGTGCCGCGGGCGCTCCAACACCACGCCTACACAGGCCCACATCAGTTCCTGATGTTACTCAATCTCGTGGTCATCCGACACCTGTCCTAGCCTGGCCCCCGCTAGACTACCCCCACTAGTTTTGCCTCCGACGTCCCGGGCCTTCTCGACGATTGCATATCATGTTGGATGTTGTCGTGATGGCCTCTCGGGGGCCCGCGAAGACCGCCCGGGCCCGAGGCATCCACGAGGGCCCAGTTGGGTTGCCCGCGAGGGATCCAGGCGGGCCCCAGGATGGCCCTTAGCAAGGCCGAGTTATGGGTTATGGTCCCTCGCTTGCCTTTTCTTGGTGCCCATCGCACCCTATGGGCCCATGGCCCATAACTCGAACCTCCATCCTCGAGTTTCGCACTTCGCACCTCGACGTGCAACTGCTTGCCGATCGGCCATTCGGGGCTGTACTCTCGATTTGGACGTGATGTCCCTAGGGTTTGTCAATAGCATCTTGTCTTATTCCCTGGTAAGTTGCGTCTCGCGATGTTTGGGCGTTCAGTGCGCCCTCGACTCATTCTGCTCATCCTCCACGTGCTCCTCTTCTCTTCCCTGGCCCGCGAGGTGAGCGTTTCTGACGTGCCGCAGGGCTCCTCGCCGACGGCGCCATCTCAGCAGACCCCAAGGCGGTTGCAGGGGAGGCCGAGGTCGGCGCCAACATCTGCGTCCCGAGCACCAGCACCCAAGGATCGGCTCGCCTCTCTCCCTTCTCGCCGCGCAGCTGCAGTATCGGCGGGGCAGTCGTGTCCGATTCGGGGCCCTAGGCAGTACTGTGTCGCAATCATTTAATTATTATTGGTTTTCAGGTTGTGAATTGTTTGTTGGCGTCCTGTGGGGCCAGTGCCGGTTTGCGAAACAGGTACTGAGGTTTTGATTGCGTTGACTTTCCCTGTGTTTTTACAGGGATTCTGCATACAAACAAATACCAGTACCGGTTAACGAAAGCGGTACTACCCCAAACGCGTACCAGCCAAAAAATCTAAACAATAATTAAATCAATTGGGTATAATTACACAATAAATACATTGATTATGGAACCTCACTGCCAAACAAAGAAAACAAGCTGTGCATGATAGCGAATCGGAAACAGCGGGGGAAGCGGAGGAGGGCGGGAGGACCAGGGAGAGAGGGGGGGCGAGGAGGAGTGTAGAGGCAGATGGAGGAGTGTCAGGAGGAGAGTGCAGGACGGGGGTGCAAGGAGGAGGGGCGAGAGGGGAGGGGAGGGGGGTCAGAGGCCCACCGCGCCTCCTCGACGCTCAGGAGATGGCCGATCTGCAGAGCCACCTTCGCATCATGGTTGACAGGCTGGACCCCGAGCTCCGCATGAAGATTTGCAACGGCCTGGAGAAGTGCGAGGCCATCATGGGGGAGTTGACTATTGGCACTGTGTGTTCTGGGACCGACGTAGGTCGTTCTGGGGACTTCCATATGCACCTCCTCTCCTTTGCACTCCGGCTTGTCTTCCTTCTCTCGGTCCCAGGGGGAGGCAGAGGGGGAGGAGGGGGAGGTGGATTCTACTTACAATGGCGCTCTACGGAATCCAGGTCAATACGAAACGGTTTCGGCCTTGTCTGCGTCCTCGTCCTTTTCTACTACATTCTCCTCCTCGTCCTCGTTATCCTCATTCTAGGCGTCCTCCTCCTCCCTCTGCTTGTCCTCGTCCTCGTCGTCGCCTTCCCCCTCTTCTCGCCTCCTCCCTCTCCTCCTCCTTGCCCTCCTCCTCCTCCTTCTCTGCCTCCCCCCGCTCCTCCACTTCGCCCTCGTCCAATTCCTTCCTCGGCTATGTAGATCCCGTCTCCCCCCTTCTTCTCGGCGCAAGCTTCCCTTGCGCGGGGTCCACAGTGCAAGCGCCTACTGTGTGGGGTCTACGCCGCGTGGGGGACCATCATGATTTGATGCGTTACGAGGCGGAGGAGGAGGGGGAGGAGGAGGAGGAGGAGGAGGAGCAGGAAGAGTATGATGACGAGGATGAGGAGGTTTGAACGGGGTCATCAAATTTTGTAACGGCGTCATGCTTGTTGCTTCCCATGCTTGAATCTGGAGGATGTATCGAGCGGGAGTACTCGGAAAGCCTCAGGTCACAGGCATACTCGGGAGTACTCGGAAAGCCTCAGGTCACAGGCTCAAGACCCCATTATGTCTCAAGGCTCAAGGCGGGCCCATTCTCGCCAGACCCCCCCTCCTTTTTGCCACGCCCCCCCTGGTGAAGAAGGGGGCATCTCCGGGCCCCAAGAGGTCCTGGGAGGCCCCAGAACGCTCCAGATGGGATCTCACATTAGGCCTCGGGCCACCCGCGCGGATAGCGGGACCGCCTCCCACAGGCGTCTCGGGGTTGGCCTGGAGCTTTCCTGGGGGGGGGACGTCGGGGAGGGCCTGCTTCTCAGAAGGTTCAGGAGGCCTCGAGCATGCAGCATGCAGCATGCCGCTCTTAGAAGGCTTCCCAGAAGGCTCACTTCCCTCTTAGGCCCTTGGGTTCTCTGCCGATCTCGGTCAGTAGCCAGTTGTCTCAAAGTCGACAGCGCCAGGCTGTGCATGCTTGAGCCTGTGCATGCTGCATGTAGCATGCACAGCATGCATGTAACGTGCACTCGATGAGGATACCCGAAGAATTCATCCGAACCCTCACTGCCCTTGTAAGGGCCTCGACTGGCGCAGATTGGCAGGGTCGGCAATCTTCCAACGTTCAGGGCCGTAGGCATAGGATCTTTCATTAGGCCTTGGGCCACCAGCGCGGATAGCGGGACCGTCTCCCACGGGCATCTCGGGGCTTTCTTTTTGTGTCTTTTGTTTGTGCTTTTTTTTTCTTTTTTTGGTATCTCTGTTTTTTTTTTTTTTTTTTGTTTTTTTACTTTTCTTTTTTGTTGTTCGTTCTCGGCCCGAGGGGGCCTTCTGGTGGATGGCCTGGTGGGGACGTCGGAGAGGGCGGGCTTCTCAGAAGGTTCAGAAGGCCTCGAGCATTCCGATCTCAGAGGGCTTCTCAGAAGGCTGACGTCCCCCTTAGGTTCCCAGCCGATCTCGGTCCGTAGCCAACTTTCTCAAATTCGACAGCGCCAGTCTTTGCATTCTTCCGTGCGCCCAATGAGGATACCCGAAGAGTTTATGCGAACCCTCACTACCCTTGTGAGGGCCCTGGCCGGCGATGCTTGGGAGGTTCGGCAATCTTCCAACGTTCAGGGCGGCTTGTTTTTTTTTTCTTTTTTTTTTTATTTTCTGTTTTTTTTTTTTTTTTTTTATTTTTTTTTTTTTTTTTTTTTTTTTTTGTTTTTTTTTTGTGTTTTTTTTCTTTTTTTTTTTTTTTTTTTTTTTTTTTTTTTTTTTTTTTTTTTTTTTTTGTTTTTTTTTTTTTTTTTGTGTTTTTTTTTTTGGTTCTTTTTTTTTTTGTTTTTTTTTTTTGATTTTCTCTGCGCCGGCCTTCGGCCCATCCCGAGCTCGGGGGATAAAGGGGGGGTGGGGGAAGACGAGGCGAGAGGAGGGGGGGGTGATGAGGATAAAAAGGGAGGGCGAGAAGGAAAGGGGGGATGTCATATAATTTAATATATAATGACAAACAGAGTCACTAGAGAGGGGGGAGGGGGAAAGCGAGGGCAGATAGAAGATAGAGGAGGAACATGGAGAATCTTATCCTCCAGGGCCGCTCACGCGGCGGCGGATATTTCTACAATTCCGCTGGGGGAGCTTGCAGATTCACGGTCCCTGGCCCGGACAGTTCGACTACGGAGAGCAGGTCGTGGCCATTTGGCGGGGGTCGCGAGAATAGCGACAGTGGCGGCGGAGGCGGAGGCGGCGGCGGCGGCCAGGCCAGTGCGCCTAAGGGCGGAGGCTGCGCTGCCGCGGCGGCGAGCTCGGGCGGTGAGTCTCGCAGCGATTCTCGCAGCGACGGCTGCTGCAGTATTCGCATGAGTCACAGCGCTTGCGAGGCCGTAGTCCCAGAAAGGCTCGGCGCCAGCCGCTGCGTTCCCGACCAGGGCCATGCGATGGGCGCCGGCGTGGTGAGCGGCAAGGGCAGCGGCACGGCCGACAACGGCGGCATTGGCAACGACAGCATGATGATGCGCGACCTAGGCCAGACGATCGGCGCCGGCGTGGTGACGGGCAAGGGCAGCGGCATGGCCAACAACAGCGGCAGTGGCAACGAGAGCATGATGATGTGCGACCAAGGCCAGACGATCGGCGCCGGCGCGGTGACGGGCAAGGCGGGCATGGCCAACATCGGCGGCAGTGGCAACGACAGCATGATGATGTGCGGCAACGGCAGCCCGATGATGCACAACGCCATGGGGTTGGCCAAGATGATGGGCAGCGGCGATTGGGTGCTCATTCCGCGAATGATGCCTGGCGGCGACCAGGTTGTCGGTGGCTGCGGCGGCTTTGGCATGGGCGTCAATGGCCTCGGCTTGCCCAAGATTTGGAGCGGTGGCATCCCCAGGGATGAGCGGGGGCCTACCGCGCCTCCCCTCGCGTTCCATTCTCCCAAGCCTCCTGCTGCACCTCCGCCAGTCCACCTCCGCGGGCCATGCTTGGGCAAAGCATCTTCGGTCAAGGCCTTGCCGATGTTGCCGCCAGCATCTCATTCTTTCGTGGCTACCCCAGCAGCGTCGCCAGCTACCCCTTTCGTGGCCCCCGTAATGTCAATGCAGCAGCCTCCGACGCGTGCTGTGCCCAAAGCGGCGGTACTTCCGGCGGAGTATCTTCCATATTAGTTGGCCCAGCGGAGAGAGGTTTTGAGTGGTGAAATCATAGCGGCGGTCATCTTCCCCTCGCCTTTTTTTCATAAGGCTCTGCGACAGGCACGAAGCCCCTAAGAGGCTAAGACCCACGGGCCCCAGGACCCCAATCTTAGGGCCATCTTGGGCAGGCTACATGTGTTGCATGTTGGGGCCATTTCGGAGCTTCCTTGGCCTCCAAATCGGTCTGACTCTTGATCTTATTCTTGATTTTTCAGAATGGTATAAAATCAGGGGTGTCCGAAAGTCAAGAGCAAGAACCGCTTTGCACCTCCAAGCTTCCCCCCGGGGGCCATCTTGGGGCCACCTTGAGCCAGCTGGGGCTGGTTTGGGGCCATCTTGGGGCCATTTGGGGCCACCTTGGTCTCCAGATCGGCTCTTGCTGTTGATTTTCAAACCGATCTAAAATCAGGGGCGTTCCAAAGTCAAGAGCTCGGTGGCGCGGGGGGGGCAGGGCAGATAGGTAGATACAGTCGGAGTTGATTAGTAGGTCGACCATGCCATATCAAGGGTGACCTTGCGTCCTTCCCGTCGAACGCCTCTGCAGTTCTGGGGTCAGGGTGCCATCGGAATAGTCTTGCGTCCTCTCGGGTGTCATGTCCAATCGACCCCGACTGTAGGGCAAGTTGATTCCCCGCCGGCCCAGGTTTGCTCAGCTGCAAGGCCGTGTCAGCCATTGCCTCTGACATGTTCCACACCAATATCACTTTCCGCCACGTCTTTGCGTGCGAGTTGGTCAAGTGGAAGCGCGACTTCATCATGCAACATCACCAGCCCGAAGCGATGTATGCGGATCTCGAGGAACTTATCACGGTGGACTTGCCAAAAAACGTTCTGACAGGCGAGGGAAAGGCAGTTGAGAGAGTTCATATTTTTGTGACAGGGTTCGAATGCGATTCCATCGCGAGCTATAACAAGAAAAGGGGCAGCTACATCGGCACTTGCATCCAGGCCGCAAAAGGTAAGACTGGCAAGACAGGGGCAATGACCTTGAAACTTATCGCTAAGCTTCTCCCGTGGATTGTTATCTTGGAGAATGTGAAAAACCTACTCAACGGCTTAGAGGGCAAGACGCAGAAGGACATTCACAACATCTTGGACATCCTTCAGGACCTCGGGTACATCGTCCGGATCAAGCTGCTTTGCCCCGCCACGTTTGGGGTGCCCATGTACCGCGCGCGGGCGTACATCATTGCGTTCAGGGTTGCCGGAGATGGAGGGGCCCCCTTGCCCAGTAGTTTCCCGTGGGTGACCGATTTCGGTTTGGTGCTGGACAATTTGCATATGCCAATGGCCCCGCTGTCTGATTTCCTCCTTCCAGATGACCACCCTTCCATAGCCAAGTGGCACAGCGATATTGGCAAGGACGAGAAGACCGATGGGGAGCCAGGGAAGTACAGGTATGAGGTCGACCACATGGAGGCGTTCTTGGGCCAGAAAAAAACGTATCCACCTGACTATGGCGATTACGGTCAACACGTGGCTTTTCTTCCGCGCCGTTTCAAGGAGCGGCGAGGGGGGGGGATGCATTGTGATTGTCGTTGCCTGGCTTGTTTCTCGCTATCCCTACCTGTGTGTATCACTGATACACACAGGTAGGGATAGCCCTTCCTAATGGCTGATACAGTATCAGAGTATCAGCCTTCCTTAATCCCCGCCTCCCTCGATCCCATGAATCTCTCACCTTTTCTCTTCGTCCTTGCCCCATTCTCGTTATCCCTGCCGTCGATCTTCCTCGTCCTCCCACCGCTCCACCTCCCCTCATCCCGCCTATCCCGTCGCCCTCGCACCCTCCCAATCCCTCCCTCTCCGCTCCCCCTCCCCCTTCCTCACGACATGCATCGATCTATCTCTCTCCCCCTCTCGACCTCTCCATGTCAGGAGCGCGCTTTCCTACACCACCTCGACGCTGCCAACGTTGAGGGAGAGACTGCGGTGGATCTGAATAACAGCATGGATTATGTTTTGGGCGCGAAGCCAGATGTCATATTCGTTCTGGCATCGACGAGCAGGCCGTGGTTGCGATTGAGGACTCGGTGCATCACCGGGGAGGAATGCTTGCACCTGCAGGGTTTCGATTACCGCGAGCAGATATTGAACGACGGCAAGATCAGCTTCGACAACCCGAAGTGTTTCGACCTGGCTGGCAACATGTTCAACGGCTACGTGGTGGCGGGCCTCATGCTCTCGGTCACGTCCCAGGTCGATTGGGAGCTCCTCAGGGATATTTGGCGGGCGCAGCAGGAGCGCAGCAACTGGGGCGAGGATGAGTCTCTCGATGGGGAGGCCCTCGACGATGGCGATGGCGCTGAAGGTGGTGATGGTGATGCCGAGGCTGCCTCAGAGGATTTTTCAGAGTCAGACTGATGGCGGCCGACGCAAGCAGCGTTGCGAATGGGCCGTGTAGTTTAATGGGGGAGGAGGAGGGAGGAGGAAAATGAGCGGGGAGGAGGAGGAGGGAGGAGGAAAATGGGTGGGAGGGGGGAAGAGGAGGAGGAGGAGGACGCCGCCATTCCCGTGACCCCGGGCCCGCGACAGCCAGAGGGATGAAGGGTGTTTAGTTTTGATGCGTGCGGCTGAGAGCTGCGCACGGCCCCTTCCGCGCCCTTCTAGCAACTCGCTCGAGGAGGGCCGCAGCGGGCGAGGCCGCCAGGTCGTTGACGGCTGGGGTCGCCCGATTGCGAGTTTCGGTTTTAGCCGTGCAGTTGGTGCTGGCTGATCGCGGGCCCTCGCGGGTGCGTCGGGCTCGAAGGATTCGCGTGAGCTCGAAGGCCATTGCGAAACGAGCTACCCTGCCTCCTCGCCCCACTGCCCTTCGCTTTCCTCGCCCCTTGCCCAGTGCCCCCCCCCTCCTGCCGCTCTTCCACCGCCCGCCCGCCCCGTCGGCCCAGCCAGGGCTAATAGCCTGAGGCTATCCTTACATCCCTGCCTTTCGGCCGATTCATCACATTGAATCGGCCCAGGCCAAAGGTTGTCCACATTGAGCATCCAAGGTCCAAGGGCCTTGCATCCTAACTATAAGACACTATAAGACAACCGCGAGGCATAGGCATAGGCCATAGGTAGCATCATCGCAAGCAAGTGCGAGGCAACGCAAAGGCAATCAAACCAACTCAAACAAAAAAACAACGCCAACCAAAGCTATCCGGAGCGAGGCGAATCAGCCGAGCAAGCCAGGCAAAACATCGCGGGACAGAGCAGGTGACAGAAGATTCTTCGCTTCGCGCGGCCATGAGCTTCTTGGGGTTTTGACCCGGGGGCTGGGCAACAGGGGCAATGGCCAAGCGGACCCTAGACGAGACGGCGGCTGCTCCAGCGGCCAAGGTCCCAAGGCCAGCGCCCTCAGTGCGAGGGGCGCCGAGGAAGCCCAGAGGGGATGGGGGCTCGCAGAGTGGCCGCTCTGCGGGCGCTGGACAGCGCACCCGGGCCGAGTCGAAGCAGGCAGGTCTTCCCAGCGCAGTCGCTTTGTGTCCACCAGTGCCTGACACGGGCCTAAAGTTCGACGTGCCCGAGGGTATCCCCGAGAAATCGTGCTCCATGCTGTGCGGCAGGTGCAATTACAGCGAGGAGCGAAAGGGGGGGGTGGGGCGCAGCGTTACGACGGCGGCGGCGACGACGACTTTGGAAATGCAACGTCTCGTCCGTCGTCGTCGTCGTCTTCGTGACGACGACGACGACGACGAGAAGTGACATCAGTGACATGTGACATGAGTCACATGAGTCATGAGTTCTCCTCCTCCTCCTCCCCATCTGCCTCCTCCCCCTCCTCCCTCCACTCCCCTCTCTTGCTTTCCGCTCCGCTTCTGATCTGCGCCCCTCTTCTTCTCATCTTACCTCGTCCCTGCCCCTTCCGCCTCCTCGTTTTCGTCCTCCTCTTCCTCCTGCTTCCGCATCTCCCGTCCCCCAACTCTTTTCCCGCGCCGCCACGGAAGGATCCGTGCAGTGCTGGCGTGCGAATCAAGTGGGAGCGAGGAGATGGTCGAGGGTCGGCTTGCTGGTATTGCTATCGGACTTGGTTGGCTTTCGCCGATGAGTTCGAGGGAGGCGCGGACGCCGACAAGACTGAGTTCGCCTCGGCGCTGGCGACAGACATGGACAAGCTTTCGAAGTTCCAGGGCCACCTCAACAAGTTCTACAAGCGCATCGCCAGCGGCAACAAGACTGGCATCGACAGGAGGGATCGCATCGCCAAGAAGGAGTTGACGAGTGCCAAGACAGCGACGGTGGAGGCCGAGGCCCCGCCCGACGACTGCCTCCCACTGGCCGAGTACGCGAGTCTCCACGGTGACCCGAACGCTCCAGAGAATAAGAAGCGCGGCCACTACGTGGTCGAGCTCGGCGGCGGCCTCCTTGCAGTGGGGATGCCAGTGGTGAGACAGAAAGGGGAGCCGTGGAAGATCCGGAGGAAGTTCGCCAACACGTTGGCTCGCGTGGACACCTTGGAGGACGGCAACTCCGAGGGGCTTGCAGACGACGACCAGGCAGATAAAAGGTACGAGGCAGGCGTCCAGGCGATGCAGAGCGAGTACGCCCAGGCTACTTCAGGCATGTCTCTGGCAGATCTGATGAAGGAGATGTCAGACAAGGCACAGGCAGAGGAGGACAACAACGAGGATGCCGTCGACGAGATTGCCGAGGGCAGCGACCAGGAGCCCAGGCGCCCCAGAAAACGCGGGATCTTCGGCGCCGCGGGGGCGGGATCTTCGGCCCAGCATCCCAGGGCCGCGGGGGCGGGCCGCTCCCGCGTTGGGGGCTCGACGGCCGCGACGCCCGCCTCGGCGCCCGCCTCGGCATCCCGGCCCCGAGCTCCTGCTGTTGCTGTGGCTGCGGCAGCAGCGGCGTGCCGAGTTGGCGCGGCTGCGGCGCCCATCCCAGCCACGCCCCGCGCCCGCCCCGCCCGGGCAGCGGCGGGCGCCGCTCCCGCCGCAGATGGCGTCAGCTCCCGCCCCGCCACAGCGTCAGACGCCGCTCCCGCTGCGGCCTCCGCGGCTGCTGTGGAGTCGCCCATGCCGAAGGCTGGTCAGGAGGCGCCTGGCACGCCCAGCGCTGGCGAGAGCCCTGGACATGGGCCAGAATGGTCTGCTACTGTGTCGCCAGGGCACTTGGGGCCGCCAGGGAAGCCCCCCGCAGCGTTTCCAAAAGATGAAGCAGCGAAAGTGTCACTCGGTCGGGGTCGCAAGCCAAAGACGGCCGCGGACTATCTGGATACCATCAAGGACATGTGGGAGACGGGGGATGAGGGTTGCCAGATGTTCGGGCCCCAGCGCGAGAACTCTGTGCGGAGCGTCCGCAGGTACGTCGACAAATCCAAAGTCGAGCATCTCCAGGCGAAGGATGACACCGCCAGGCTCCACAAGTCGATCCAGACGAAGAGCTTGCAGCTCATGGAGCATGGCATCGCCATGTACTCGGCCTGGTCCTCACGTCGTACGCTCCAGCAGGGCATCGCATCCTTCAACAGCGCCTGGGTTAAGTTGACGACATTCGCTACCTCGGACCCTCGGGTCGCTTTCGAATCATCATTCTTGCTTCAGCTGAGGCTCAAGGTGTTGGCCTACGACGTTTTCAATTCCGAGGTTGTGCTGAAAGACCATCTTACTCCACGCGCGCTTCGGTCTTTCTTGGGCAAGCACTGGCCTATTGACGGCATCGAACGATCCATCGTGAACTTGGCCTTGGTCACGGCCCTCGAGTCGTCAGGGCCCAGCGGCGAGGTGCTGGACATTCTTTGCCGCGTGACGTCCCGCTTCCAGGTTGACGACTCCGACTCGCCTCCTGAGGACAAGATCGACCAGGTCTTGGTGAAGGAGCTCGTCCAGCTCAAAGCGCTCCTGGAGTGCAACAACGTCGCTGCCATCGAGGAGGCGCTGACGCACGTCCCCGACTCAAGAAAGTCAGCCAGCAAGAGCAACCACCTCTTGGGCCTCCTCGTGCGCTACCCCAATCACGGCGGCGTGGTTCTTTCGAATGCCAAGTCCAGCCTGGATCACGTGAGCGCCGTCATGGAGAGGGCCCGGGAGATCGCCAGCCACACCTTCGCCTTGAATGCCAAGCTCAGCGCTGCGAAAGAGAACCTGGCAGAGGGCCAGGATCCCGGGGAAAAAGGGGGCCATGATCCCAACGGGGGGGGGGGAGGCGTAGGCGGACGGCATGGCGATGGAGTGGGGAGTTGGAGGAGGAGGGGAGGGGGAGGGAGGAGGAGGAGGAGGAGGAGGAGGAGGAGGAGGAGGAGCATGAGGAGGGGGGAGGAGGAGGGGAGGGGGAGGGAAGGAGGAGGAGGAGGAGGAGGAGGAGGAGGAGGAGGAGGGGGAGGGGGAGGGGGATGGGGGATGGCGGAGGTGTGAGGATGTTGTGCCGAATGCAAGAGCAGGGATGGGATGAGCGAGTCAGAGCTTGGGCGGCCGCGTGCCCCAGGAGCTCGCCCTCTCGGTCATCGTGGACTTGCTGGGCCACTGGGTGGAGCGCGATCGTGGGGCACGGAGGGCCTCCCTCCCTTGCTGCCTTCCCCGTGCCCATGCCCCCCCCCCCCCCCTCCCCCGAGGGGCGGAAGGGAGGGGGATAGGAGGGTTAGGGTAGAGGGGGGGAGAGAGGAGGCGAGGGTAAGAGGAGAGGGGCGGTGATAGGGGTAGAGCGCAGAGGTAGGGAGGGGTAGGGAGCAGAGGGGTGAGAGGGGAGGGGGTGGAAGAGGGAGCGAGGACACAGAGGGAGGCTCTCTCACCCTCCCCCTTCCTTCCTTTCCGTTGACCTCTTCCACTGACCGTCGCAGAGATGCGGCCCTGGGAGGTTTCATGCAGACGCTGTCGCCGGGCGACAAATCAGAGCTCGAGGGGCATTCTCAAAACATCTTCGACGAAGCAATGTCCGCATCCCACGAGGGCTACATCTTGATGTTCAGAGGGGTCGCGCGGATCTGGGCCACAGACTTCGCGCTCATCGAGGGGGGGGCCTGCCGGGAGCGCTTGCAGTCGTTGGTGGATTCGAAGCATTGCGAGACTATGCGTGACGTCGCCGCTCGCTTCGTCTCCATGGAGTGGACGGCGAATCGTTTGGAGTCGGCGCTCGAGTCTTTGATTGATGGGAGCTCTTCGGACAACCCGAAGCATTGCAGCATGTCTGGTTTCTTGTGCTGGTACAACGCCGTCCCCGTCATGATCCAGGTCATCGATGGCGCGATGGATTCGCTTACCTTGGAGGCTGGCGCGAACGTCATGAGCTTGGGCGACACCTTCGGCCATCTTGCCCAGCTCGACGGCGCTGAGAGTATCGACTGGATGCCCGTGCAGAAGTGGTGGGAGTCAAGTGGCATCCCAACGAAGGTCTCGGAGACCATCAACAAGGACAGAGCCGCCTTGTGCGCCCTCATGGACGACGCCCGCCTGGCGGCCAGCAGGGCGTTCGACTTGATGATCCCAGAGATCGTCGAGCCAGAGAGATTGGAGGAGCGGGGGCTTTGCTCCCTCTCCCCCTCTGCATACGCTCCCCCACCCCATTCCTCTGCCCCCCCTCCCTTTCCTCCGCCCCCCGCCTCCTCCTGCGCTCCCGCTCTCATGCATTCCCCCTTGTCCTTTGATCGACCACTCCTCCCGCTCTCCGACCCCTCCGCGCCCCCTTCTCACTTCACCCCCCCAACCCTTCCCTCTCGGCTCTCCCCGGCCCTCCCGTTCCATCGTCCACTTGATATTATCCTTCTCCTCCTCGTTCGCCCTCTCCGTCTAACCGTCCACTTGCCGCGCTATGCCGTTGCCCCCGTGCTCGCTCGCTGCTCTTGTCTGCCCCCCAGGAGATCGACGTCTCCAAGTTCGACGTTGGCGACGCAGTCGAGAAGCTCAGGAAGTTGGACGGGTTCCACGCAGCGGCCATCGTTTCGAACGATGTGTTGCTGCGCATCGCTCGTTCGGCCGCTGCGACCGTGGCGTTCGAGCGGGCCCGCCTGGGCATGAGCGCGGCGGACATCGTCTCGGAGCTGACGGCCGTCAAGGAGGTGGCTTCCGGCGCCCAGCACGCGAGGAGCCAGGTCCTCACGGTGCCCGAGGAGACGCTGGCCACCGTGCCGGAGCAGGGGGCGCAGCTCAACTTTTTGGCCGAGAAGGCTGAGCTCGCCTTCAAGCAGGCGTCCATCAGGTGCCCATGTCACATGTCTTCTTCCCTCGCCTTCGCTTCCGACCCCGTGCCGTCCTCCTCGCATGCGGTATGTATGCGAGGACACATGGAGACGGTATGTGGCATGCGGATGCGGTATGCCGCATACCGCATCCGCATCCGCATACCGTACGCATACCGTATGCGCACGGTATGCGGCACGCGGCATGCGGCATACTGCGTGCCGCGCATGCCGCATACCCCATACCGCATACCCCTCTCCTCCTCCTCCCTCCTCCTCCTCCTCCTCCTCCTCCTCCTCCTCCTCCTCCCCCTCCTCCTCCTCTCCCCCCTCAGCCTCCTCATCCTCTTACTCCTACTTCCTCCTCCTCCTCCTCCACCTCCTCCTCATTCCCCTCCTGCCCTCCTTTCTCCCCCCTTTCTCATCTTCCTCCGCGCCCCCCAGGTTCTGCGCCGAGTTCGCCGCCGAGAGCGCCCTGCCCGACCTGACTAAGAAGCTGATTGACTTCACGCCGCCGAGCACCACCGTCGAGTCCGCGAAGATCCTCGCGACTGGGCGATACCAGGACCAGGTGCTGCGGAACCCGCATCGCGAATCCATGTTGGCGATGTGCAACCAGGTCTCCGCGGTCATCACCAACGTGGAGACGCTGGCCAAGATGGGCTACGCGTTCAACGACGCTGTGGTGAGCAACGCCAAGAACGCCAAGGCGCTCGCCAAGCGGGCGACGGGCGTGAGGCCCCGAGGGAGCAACTTCCCGAGGGGGTTGATGGGGGAATTGGGGTGAGGGAGGAACGAGGAGAAGTGAGAGGAAGGCGCACTGAGAGGGGGGAGAGGAAGCAAGGAGGAGACAGGGGATGATCGGGGAGGGTTTTAGAGGAAGACCCCACCCTCTCTTTCTCCATCTTGCCCCCCCCATCCTTCTACTTACACTGCTTCCTCCTGCTCCTTCTCCATCTACCTAATCCATGCTTCTCCTCATTCCGCGCCTCCCCCTCGCCCTTCTCGACTCATGCCTTATGCTTATGCTTGCTGAGGGTGCCTCCTCCTCCTCCTCCTCCTCCCCTCCTCCTCCTCCTCCTCCTCCTCCTCCTCCTCTCCTCCTCCTCCTCCCCCTCCTCCTCCTCCTCCTCCTCCTCCTCCTCCTCCTCCTCCTCCTCCTCTTCCTCTTCCTCCTCCTCCTCCTCCTCCTCCTCCCCTCCTCTCGTCCATCCATCCCTCGCCCCCCTCCCCTCGCCCGCCCGCTCGTTCTCGCCGCCCCCCGAGGTTCGCGGTCAAGCAGCTCGTCAAAGCCACGGCGGACGGGTTGAGCGGGGCGGCGCTGGCAGGCGTCTTCGCCGACCTCGAGGACATCGGTGGATGCCAACTTCAGGCCAACCTTGGGCTCGGCATCGGTGCAAGTTTCACGCGCCGATCCCGAGCCCAGGGCAGGCCTGCTAGTTGGTGTCTTCCTAGGAGAAGCTCAACAAGAAGGGCCGCAACAAGTCGTGGCGGCTCCCCGAGTTCCTGGGCGACCTCATCGCGAGGTCGTCGCCGGCGTGAGTCGGCGCCGTCGCCGGAGGAGGAGGAGGATAAGGGAGGGTGGGAGCAGGAGAGTAGGGGGTAGGAGGGTAGCAAGACAAGATGATGGGAGGAGGAGGAAAGGGGATGAGGTGTGCAGGAAAGTAGAGGGGTAGGGGAGTAGAGGGGGAGGAGGAGGAGGAGGAGGAGGAGGAGGAGGAGAGGAGGAGGAGGAGGAGGAGGAGGAGGAGGAGGAGGAGGAGGAGGAGGAGGAGGAGGACGCTCCGGGCCGCGCCGGGCCGCGCCTGGGCCGCGGCGCACGCGCCGGGCGGGCCGCGTCGGGCCGCGAGTCGCGCCCGGGGCCCGTCGCGTTTCAATTTCTACCCCCACTCCCCCGACACTTGAGTAGGGGCAGGGGGAGTAGGACCAGGGGGGTAGGGGAATGGCCCATTCCCCTACCCTGGTAGGGCCAGGGGAGTAGGACCAGGGGGGTAGGGGGAATGGCCCATTCCGAGTGGGTTCTAAGGTTACTAGATTAGTATTCCTGGATATTCTCCATCTGTTCCCCCACTCCCTCGTCCCTGTACTCAGGGCCCCGGGACGCGGCCGCGGCGGGCCCGAGGGGAGCGAGGGGCGCTTCCTGCGCGGCTGGACGCGCGGCTCTGAGAAATCAGAACGACGTCGTCCTCTGGCCTAGCCCCGACCCCCCTTTTTCTTATCCCAGAGGCTTCGGCCATTCCGCCGACCCCAAGGCGGTGATGAGTTAACGATGGTTTCTGCAGGCCCTCTGGGGGGTCCCTCTGGAGCTTCTCGGCGGGACCTCGCCCCGACTTCGTCGGGCGGGGGAGAAGGCGCGGCTTGCCCAGTCACGGGTGGAGGCGGCGTAGGTCGCCCGCCGCTCGGCAGGGGAAAGGGAACATACAAGTATTAAGCAGTTGTGCAATCTACGAAGTGCCATCATCAGTTCATGTATAGCCTGTATAGTATTACATAACATATTACATATATTATATACATGTATATACGTATGGTATTAATGTACTATTATGCCACATATATATACATATATATATATATAACAATATATCTATATATATATATGTATATATTACGAATTATTTGCCATTTCGCGTTCCTATTGTTTGTTTATCGTTGTTTGCCATGTCGGTACCCGCGGCATGCAACTTCGATTTGGTAGACGCTCGCCAGGGTTATGGTGGGTCCGAGCGGAGCAGTGTATATGCAATTTTTTCTTCTAATCTTGCCCACCTGCAGCGATATTAGCAGTTCTCTTTTTCACAAAAAACATAAGCACCAGAAGCAAAGTCAGCCCCGTGAGTGGGCCCATCATGCTCGAGCAACTCCCGAACCTCTACTGCATCATGAGGCGACGGGTCCAGCAATCCAGACTGGCCACGCAAAGAGGGTCACAACTAGTCGAGTTTGTTTCCTACTAGTGTCTGACGCATCCCAGGCGGATCAACCTCTTTGGCTGCTGAGGGCCATATATTTTGCTCATAGTCTCAACGGGCGAGGGTAGCGTGAACGAAACTTAGCTGGGAGTGAGGGCCTGCGAATGGCCAACAATGCCGTCGAAGCACGGCCTACTTGACCTCGATCGCACTGGCCGAATAGAGTGAACGAAGAAGCAGGGAATGCTTGGAGATCTTTAATGGGCACAAGTTGCCAGGAAGGAACACACACAGGCTCCCAAGACGGAGGGGCAGCATGCTCCGTCCATTTCCCCCCCCGACGTAGAGCAACCCCAACCAGCAGCTCCACGCGGGCCTGACAGGGGTTGTTCGAAGCCTTAACCTGGAGCTTTTGCCCAGGGGCAAGTGCCATGCAGTCAACCCGGATAGTAAGGACGGACAACCTTTTCAAGGGTACCCTTGCATTCTTGCCTCCTCGATCCGTCCTTGGTTGCTTTCGCTCGCCCCGCGCCGTCCGAAAAGCTTCGACACGGCCTTCCAAGGCCCTTGCATCCTCATCGTGCATCCTTATGATACTGGTCGACTGTACGCCCCCCAGGAGCCGGCCAGGTCCTGAGCGGCGGCGGAGGGGGGGCCTTCTCTCCACCGTGCTCCTCGACCGCTGGCGCCGCCACACGGCTGCCGCCGCGCCCTGCGCGCGTGCTGCCCTCCGCCCCCCGGAGGTGCTTGCGGTGGCGGGCATCGTGACGGGCAACCAGTGCCGCTTCACGAACCTCGACTGGCGGGGGCTCGGGGCTTCTCTCTGCCTCCCTCTCCCCCTCTTGTTCCCTCTCGCCCTTCTCCCTCTGCCTCCTTTTCCCCATCCTCCTCCTGCCCCTCTTCCTCCAGCTCCTCCTCCCCTGCCTCCTTTTCTCCCTCCCCCTCCACAGGCTGCCCCCAGGAGATGTCCAGGCCTCCCAGATGGGGTCCGAGCAGCTGGGGTCGGTGGATCGCGCCGCATCGCCGATGCATCGGCGATGCGGCTTGATGCGGAGCCCGATTTTCTGCACGCCTACGGAGGTGATGCATCGCCGACGTTGCCGATGTTTCGCCGATGCATCGGTGATGCGGCGTGATCCTCCGACCCCATCTGCTCGGACCCCATTTGGGAGGCCCCAAGGGGCAGGGCTTCGTCGGATGGAGAGGCCGTGCATCTGCAGTCGAGGCGCCGGAAGAAGGGCCACTTTGGGGCTCGGGAGGGACTTGGCTTTTCTTTTGTTCCTCTGGCCTGGAGGTCGGGGGACCGATGCGTTGCCGAGGCTCGCCGTGGCCAGAGCAGCCCCCTCTTTCCTCAGTCAGTGCTCCTTGTAGTCGTCGTATTCTCATTCGTTTTTTTGCCGATCGGCGCGGGCCCTCGCAAGCCCCCCTCACCCCGCCCATTGAAGTAGATCCTGGCTGTTTTTGGCACCTGTTCCAAGCAGGAGGAGCTCGTCTCCTGCGGGACGCACTGTTCCGAAAAGTCGCGTTAAGCAGAAGTCCGGAGCCAGGAGAACGGGGGATTCTGGGGTGGCGGTTTTGGGGGGCCGCCGCGCGGCACGATTGACTTCAGAGGTGCGCGTTGCAGCAGCGCGGGTGGGGGTGAGAAGGAGGGCGATATAGATCGAGAGAGAGAGGGAGTTGCGCGGTATAGGGGGGGAGAGGGAGGGAGTGGGAGAGGGAGGAAAGGACGAGAGGCCAGAACGCTCCCCTCCCCTATCGCCCGCGGCGCTGCCTGGGGGGGGAGGGGGGGGTGGGAGCAACAAAAAAAAATACCAAGAAACAAAACAATCTGCATGACCATCCAGTTTTTTTTGTTGCTCCCCCCCCTCATGCGCTCCCCAGATACCCCCCGTCCCTCTGACCCCCCCCCGCCATCGCCGCAACCCCGCCGCCGCCTCGGGGAGCGCTGGCGGCGGCCCTGACAGCGATTGTTTCAGACTGGTGGCTCGTGTGGAAACACCCAGGAGGAGGAGGAGGAGGAGGAGGAGGAGGAGGAGGAGGAGGAGGAGGAGGAGGAGGAGGAGGAGGAGGAGGAGGAGGAGGAGGAGGAGGAGCCTGGGTGGCTTGCCCCCTGCGCTTCGGTTCTGGAGGGCCGCAGTGAGTTCGGAAGGACTGGCGACGAAGACCAGCTGCAGTTCTTCTTCGAAGAAGAAGAAACGCCACAAACGTAAACTTGTGGCGCTATGTGCGGATTTCTTGGATCCGCGCTTGGGCCCCCCCCAGGCGGCGCCTCCGGCGCCGCCGCTGGCGCGCTCCGCACGCCAGGGAGGAGGGTCCGTCGCAGATCCAGGAATCTGCGCGGAGCGCCACCAGTTTATTTTGATGCCGTTTTTCTGTTTCTAATGGTGAGGAAGACCAGCTGCAGTTCCTGGCAATGGCCTGCCCAACAGCGGCCGCTGTCGACTTTGGACGGCATTTGCTGTTGGGCATCGCGCCCTTAGTTTCCGTACCCACTTCGGGCGTGCCGGTCGGTGGTCTTTGTGGTCTGGCCCCCTCCGCCCCCGCTGTTGGTCCCGATCCCCGCCAGCCTTGGCGCCCGCGGTTCCGGCGGGAGGACCGTGGACGGCAACGAGCTGGCGCAGAATTTGGGCATCGAGCGCGTGGAGGTGTTCGGTGGCAAATCATGGGTTCCTGGTCTACCCTCTTCATTCCGTCTTTAGCGTCGATTGGCGTCGATTAGCGTCTGGAGTCGATGAGGCAGCACCGATACAGCGTCGGTCAGCGTCGATGAACGCCGAGTTGGCGTCGATCAGCGAAGACCTAGCGTCGATTTAGCGTCGATTCGCAAGAGCCGACAAGATGGCACGGGAGGCTCCCATCGGTTGCCACCGAAGAGGTGATCAACGACTTCGTGGCCCAGGGGTACGGCACCCTGACCCTCGGCGACGAGGACCCCCGCCCCAGGCAGGGCCTTGCGAAAACAGGCCGCCTCAATCCCCAGACGGTGCGGTGCCCGCGCGGCGAGGTGGGCCCGTGGGGACTCGGGTTAAGTCGGGCCTGTCCCTCTACAGGAGGAGTATCCAGACATAGTGAAAAAATTACCTGGGGACATTTTTTCAGTATTTTTGATGATGATTTTTTTTTTTTTTTTTTTTTTTTTTTTTTTTTTTTTTTTTTTTTTTTTTTTTTTTTTTTTTTTTTTTTTTTTTTTTTTTTTATTATATATATATATATATATATATATATATTGGGGACGTCCCAAATCCCCCTGGAGGGGGACATGTCCCACCTAAGACTCGGGGGGGTACCGCACAGCTTGGGCGCTCGGGCCGCTCTCTCCGAGGACGTCTTCGGCGACTGGCCGCCTCCGAGGCCTCCCGAGGCCGTGCGGCGACGGACCCCGCGGGGAGGTCGCTGGGGACCTCGGGGCACGGCTGGGCCCGCACGCCGTGTGGCTGGACGTCGGCCGTGTTCTGTTTTTCGTTTTGGCAGGGAGGTGCCAGAAAACAGGCAGAGCGAAGACAGACAGACAGGCAGACAGAAGCCTTGCGTCCAGGTGGACGCGTTGGCAGGACAAATACAAGTGACCAAACGTCACTCGAAACGCTCGAAGCACAAAGGTGTGGCCAAACGCCACACGAAGCACTCGAAGCACGCGGGCGTGAACAAACGCCATACCAGGTAGAGCGAAACGGAACACAGAACGGCAACAGAGCGAACAACAGCGTCCAGGTCCAGCCCCGTCTGGGGGTCTCGAGGTCACCGCACGGCCCGTCACCGCACCGTTCTGGGGCCCCAGAGGGATGCCCGGCCCCGAATCTCTTCCCGCCGCTCTCCGCCGTTGAGACCTCCTCGAGGATGGGTAGACCAGCCGCTGTGCATGCCAGTTTGCAGAACGCTGCCAGCCTGAATCCTTACCCCCATGATTCTAGGTCTTCCAGATGGGGTCGGGGTAGATGGGGTCGGAGGATCGAGCCGCATCACCGATGCATCGGCGAGGCGGCTCGATGTGGAGCCCCATTTTCTCCACGCCGACGGCTCCGATGCATCGCCGACGTCGCCGATGCATCGCCAAAGCGTCGTCGATGCATCGGCGATGCATCGGCGATGCGGCGCGATTCTCCGACCCCATCAACTCGGACCCCATGTGGGAGGCCTCTGATGATTTGCATCACCTGATCTCGGCGCCGATCTTGAGGATTGCCTCAGTTTCCGAGGGCACATCCCTGAGACCGAATTCGTATTCCGCGGGCCAATCCTAGGGGCAAGAGGGGTCAGTTAAGCTCGGCGCCAGCCATGATGGAGTCGACCTGACCTCAGTGCGAGGCGCGCAGCTCCAAAGCCTCGCAGGCGCCCCCGAAAAACCTTGCCCACAGCGTGTCACATACTGCTGCTGTTCGCTGGTGCCAGAGCCAGGGGCCCTGGGCCGCCCTGTTTTCTCTTGCGCGGTCCCCCTGCCTCTGCGTCCAATTCGCTTCGGGCGCGCCAGCCGCCAGCTCGACCGCCTCCTGGACCCCATGGGTCGACCTAAACGGTGTTTGGGCGACTCCGTGGGCCGTTTTCGTTTCGATTCCGGTCTGCAGCGAAGGCGGATTAAAGACCATAACGAGGGCCAACGAAAACAAAACGAAAAACGTTGTTTAGGACGATCCCTGCTGGACCCAGCCCGCCGCTGATCCAAGCAAGCTTTCCTGCGCGGCGCCCTCCGGTCCGTTCAAGAGACGGGGCGCAGCCAGGCTGGCACGAGAGGGGGACCAGGTCGGACAGCAGCTGCGCCCGGGGGTTGGAGTCAGGCGATCGCAAACATGGATCAAGGGGGCGTGCATGAGCGACGGGTCCCGCTTCCATGGGAGATCGCGGATTTTCGCCGCCGAGCGAGGCGTCACCGGCCGCATTTTGGGGAGGGCACCTCCCCCGATCCATGGATTTGGCGACCGCGCACCAAGTCCACGGATCGCTCATCCATGTTTGCGCGCCCCCGATGGAGGAGGGATGGTGAGGATCGGTAGGACGGACATTTGGTGCGGAATTGGCTGGTGACGAAGACCAGCAGCAACTCCTATCCATTCTGCGCAGGACTTGCTGCCCGTGCCGCCGCGGGCCCTGTCGGCTCGAGACGCAAGAGTTCGTCTGCCCAGCAGCGGCCGCTGTCGATCTGGGACAGCAGCACATTAGCTGTTGGGCACCGTGCCCACTTTTGTTCCGTACCGACTGGGCGTTCCACGAGGAGGAACGAGGCTGCTTGCGATTCTGTCGGCTGGGCTGCGTCGCCAGCCGGTTGTGTCCAGTCCGGCTCGATCGGTCGGGCCTCGGTGCGAGGCAGTCAGCGCCTCGCGGAGGAGCCCGACGCACCTTGGCCATGGCGTGTGGCGCGCTGCTGCGCTCATGCCTGCAGAGCGCTGGGCATCCCCGCACTGAGGCCGCGGCCTTCCACGCGCGCCCGGTGGCCGCGCGATCGTCGGGCTCTCCCGCTCCGCCATGCTCTTTCGTGGGGCCCGGTTCGCGCTCGCGTGCCCCGCTTGCGCTCGCCCGACCTGGACCCTGACCAAGCCGCGGCTGGCTGCTGCCATCACTCAAAAGTGCCGGCGCTGCTGGCCGCCGGTCTCTGGTGCTGCTGCCACTGACGGTGCGGGTGCCTCTGCCGCTGCTGCTGCCACCTTGGGGCAGACGGCTAACATCGAGGCCCGGGGCCGCCTTCACAGGCCCCCTGGCCCGCCAGAGGCTTCTCCGAGGCTCTCAAAGACATTGGCCGACTCCGGGGGCCTCGGCAGCTAGCGACAACACAAGAATACCGCCGGTGGCCACCGTTCTGGGCCTGCTTCGGCCTCCACCAGCGTCGGTCGGGCTTCCAAGACATCCGGCGGTTGGAAACAATCGAGACGGCCGCTCATTCGTTCTGCTGGCCTTTGGAGGCTGGTGTCAACGGCCAACTCAGGCATGAGGGCCCGGCCCCGGGCCAGGGGCCGCTTTGTCCGGGGCCCACGTCCCGGACGAAGCGAGCAGCTGGATGTCTGGGTTCCGCCAGCAGACCGACCCCATCTGCTCCGACCCCATCTGGGAGGCCTAGACCCTCCTCCTGCTCCTCCTCCTCCTCCTCGCCCTCCCCCTCCTCCCTCCCCCTCCTCCCCCTCCTCCCTCCTCCTCCTCCTCCTCCTCCTCCTCCTCCTCCTCGCCCTCGTACTGCTTCCGCCGGGCTTCTTCTGCGGGAGGCGCTCCTTGCCAGTCGGGGAGGCCCGGGGTCGCCGCGGGGTCCAGGCGGGCGGGCGGAGCCCGACGGCGGTGGAGACCTCCGAGTTAGCTTGCCATGGGCGCAGCCTGCGACGAGGAGAAGGAGGAGGAGGAGGAGGAGGAGGCGGGGGAGGAGGAGGAGGAGGAGGAGGAGGAGCAGGAGGAGCAGGAGGAGGGGGAGGCGGAGGATGAGGCGGAGGCGGAGGCGGAGGCGGAGAAGCAGGAGGAGGCGGAAGAGGCGAAGGCGGAGGCGCAGGCGGCGGCGGAGGAGGAGGTGGAGGAGGAGGAGGAGGATGAAGACTAATAATCATCATAGGAGTAAGGATAAAGAGCACCAACTCAATAGTACGAATAGTATTGATACTACGAATAATAATTCGGATTATAATGATAGTACGAATGCTGATATTATTCATGCTAATCGTATGAATGATACTGTTCTTATAATAACACTGCTAGCGACATCATTACGACTATCACTACCACTACCAATAATACTAATACAAAGAATGCCAACTAAGTGTACTAATGGTAAGAAAACCATTCGTACTATCGTTACTGAGGCGGAGAATATGGCGAAAACGGCTAACACTAATAATGCGACTAATACTAAGACAACTCATACGAATCTTTTTATTACGGATAATACGAAGACCACTACTATTACTACTAATACGAACAATAGTAAGAATACGTACTAAGACTCTTACGGGTGTTTCTGTATATGCATCGTGGGAATCATCTGACCAATATTTGAAATTGTAAGCAGTGGAAGACGAACAAGGGGCATACGAATACTAATCATGTTCATTCACATTCTAGTATTCCTATTACTACTACTACTTATATTACTACTGCTACTACTACTACTGCTGCTGCTGCCTCTGCTACTACTAGTATTACTACTACAACGACGACGACGACTACTACTACTACTACTACTACTATTACTACTACTACTACTACTACTACTACTACTTCTACTACTACAACTCCGATTATTATTATTACTACTACTATTACTACTACTACTACTACTACTACTACTACTACTACCACTACTATGATTACTACTACTCTTTTTATTACTACCACTACTACTACTACTGCTGCTGCTGCTACTACTACTACTACTACTACTACTACTACTTCTACTACGACTACTGCTGCTGCTGCTGCTGCTGCTGCTGCTGCTACTGCTACTGCTGCTACTACTACTACGACGCATCATCATTTTATTCAGATGAATAGTATTATCAAGCAGAATAATGTTAACTTTACGAACACGAAGAGGAGGAGGCTAGCCCACATGAGGTCGGAGTGCGTAGATGGGTCGGAGGATCGCGTCGCATCGCCGACGCATCGGCGAGTCGGCTCGATGTAGAGCCCATATTTTTCAACGCCGATGGCGCCGATGCACCGCCGACGTCGCCGATGCATCGACGATGCAGCCAATGCATCGACTATGCATCGACGATGCATAGCTTGTGCCTTCTTGATGAGGATGAGGTTGTGGAGGAGGAGGATGAGGAATAGGAGAAAGATGAGGAGGAAGAGGAGGAGGACGAGGAGGAGGAGGAGGAGGAGGGGGTGCCAGGCCTCACATAATTGAAACGTCCGAGACCGGGGCAGTTTTCGGTCTTCAGGACGGTGCAGGAAAGATCTGGTAGTAAATGCTTGCTTGCCCTGGGGAATTTGTCCAGAGATCGATGGACCGCGCATTGAAGGAATCACGACGTCGGATCTCCATGGATGGGCGGAAGACGGGGGTGATCCGAGTGATAAGAAGTCATGGTAATCGCAGGTCCCACTATGTTTAGCGATCTCCAGAGACGGGGGCCGCCTTATGCTCCAGAATTCCTAGAGCGTATCCCGAGCCATTTGCATCATGACAGCAGTTTGAGCCAGCTTGGGGGGCCTGAGGTGGCCCAGCATTGGTCCTGGTCAGCAAGACGGGCGGGCAGGGTGGAGGTTCTGGGATGGGTACGGTTTTTCGCAGTCGTCGGCCTCCGGGTGCAGTTTTTTCGGGCCCTGGGGCCGTCCAAAAAGGAATCTGGGGTGCAAAACTGCACCAGATGTGCCCCAGGAGAGGTCCGGGGACCGACTTTGACCACACTTGGCCTCCCCCACCCCCCGTTGGGTTCCAACCAGCGCAGACCCCCCAGCCGCCTCCCAACATCATTCTCGTTTAAGATGAGGAGCAGGAGGGTGAGGGTTGTGATTCAGGGCTTGGTCGGGATACCCCCCCAGTAGGCAATTCCATTCCGCGGGCCTCCCCGAGGCACTCCTGATGGGGGCCGCAGTGAGCACAAGCCAACCAATTGCGTGAGCACACATCTTTCAAAGCATCGCGAACCTCACGCCGATTTCGCAGGCGATTTTTCGCCCCCGATCTCCCGAGTTCGAAGCAGACGTTACCGACCGTAGATGGGGGACACAACTGCAGTGAACAGTGGACATGGTATAGCAGAAACTGTACATTCCGCTCTGCCGACCCTCTTCAGACGGTCGGGCACCGACGAAACGCTCCTCCTCCCTCCTCCCTGTCCCCCATATCCTCTATCCCCCATCCTCCTCTTTCCCCTCCTCCTACACTCCCTCCCTCCATCCCTCCCCCTCGCTGCACCTTCTCATCTTCCCTCTCCCCTGTCCTGCTCCCCCTCTTCCCTCCACCTTCGACCACCCATCCTCCATCCTCCCAGGTCCGCCGATTGGTGCAGGTGTGCGCTCCTCACCCGAGCCCACTGCTGCCTTGGCCGAACGCTTCTGCTGCTGCTGCTGCTGCTGCTCCTCCTCCTCCTCCTCCTCCTCCTCCTCCTCCTCCTGGCCCCTCCTCACCTCTCTCTCCTCTCTCTTCCTCCCTCCCTCCTCCCTCCCTCCTCCTCATCCCCCCCTCCCTGCCCCCTTTCCGCCCCCTGCCCAGGACCTGGTGGAGCTGAGCCCCGGCATCAAGCCGCGCGCCGGCGCGCCCATTGCGTGCATCGGGGCCGGCACCGGCCTAGGCGCCGCGGGAGGGCACCACGGCGGCGGCGCTGGCGGTCACGACGAGTTGGGGCTGAGGAGGCCGGGCGGACGGCACCAGGGGCGCAATCAAAGGGGTGGGATCGTCAGAGGAGGAGAGCTCCCCCTCCTCCTCCTGCTCCTCCTCCTCTGCCCCCCCCTCCTCTTCCTCCTCCTCCTTCTCCTCCACCTCCTCCTCCTCCCCCTCCTCCTCCTCCTCCTCCTCCTCCTCCTCCTCCTCCTCCTCCTCCTCCTACTCCTCAACTTCCTCCTCCTCCTCCTCCTCCTCCTCCGCCTCCTCCTCGTCGGAGGATCACCAAGCGCGTTCCACTACTCGCGAAGTGCCTACTCGCAAACGTCCGAAACACATGTGTTCGCGTAGATAAGGTTTATCGTAGAGCCCCCGCAGCGGATCCAGGCCATTTGCGAGTAGTGGAACGCGCTCATCCAGACGAGAAAATTGTACCGATACCGCTGCCCTTCTCTCGTTTTCGTCTTTTTGGGCCTCCTGGGAGGCCCTCGTCGACACCTCTGGATTCTCCTCGAGATTCTGGTCAGACCGCACCTCAGGAGAGGTCCACGGAGTAGCGGTATAGGTGCCGTTTGGCTTCTCCAGCCAGCAGGAAGATTGCCCCGAAATGGCTCAAACAACACCGAGCGCGTTCCACTGCTCGCAAAGTGCCTACTCGCAAACGCCTGGAAAGCCTCGATGTAATGGATCTCCCCCGCGGCGGATCCAGGCCATCTGCGAGTAGCTACTCCGCGAGTTAGTGGAGCGCGCTTGCCGATTGGAGGGGCCCCAACTCGAAACACAAGAAACGGCATGACCACGATTCGCCAGAGGCGCCGCCCAGGGGGGGCCCCCCCCCGAACCGAGACGCCAGCGCGGACCTCCGAGCAATAGCGTGACTGTGCCGCGTCCTGCCCCCCTGCAGTTGCACGCGCCCCGCGGGCCCGACGAGGCTGCGCGAGAGGTGCGCGCCTCCTCGCCCCCCGCTGGCTGCCCTGCCCGCTGGTGCGAGCCTCCGAGCAGGGGCCGCCCCTCGAAGCAGGCGAGGGTGCCCACGGTTCGGAACGGCGCCGGCCGCGCCGCGGCCGTGGGCCTGTCGGGACCCCGCAGAAAGGAGGGGGGGGGGCGCGTGCCGCTCCGAGGAGGAAGAAGGGTGCCCACACCTCGACCCTCTCCTCGTTTTCCCCTCTTCGGGCCTCCTGGTCCTCCGTCGTCGCCACCGCTGGATTCGCCTCGAACTTCTGGTCAGACCGCACCCCAGCAGAGGTCCGGGGTGTAGCGGTATCGGTACCTTTTGGTATCCCCAGCCTCGGGGCGCACGTGAGTTCGACCGGCTTTTGCACCGAACCGCCCAGAGCAGATAGCCCCCCCAGCCGTCGGCAGCTCCCGATGTGCGGGCGCGGTCGTTCTCGCGGCGGCGCGCCCGAAGTTCTCTCTTGATGGTTGCAGCCAAGACGCGGGCATCTCGCTGCTGTTTACCCCGTGTGTGTGTGTGTGTGTGGCGGATCGGGGCTCAAGAGACGGGGGTCAACGCAAACCGGGTCAGAAGATCCCCGAGCGGATGGCACGGTTGATCCATGGCTGGATCCTTGCCCCATCTTCTGACGGGCCGGCCGCGCGCTCTTTGTCCCTCTCTTGGCTTGACTTCCTTCGCCTCGTCGCTGTGCGCGAGGCCGTCACGCCAAAAGTGTGTGTGTGTGCGTGTGTGTAGATGTATGCGTAGCCTGTGGGGCCCTCTCGGGGCCGCCTGGAGGGCATCCCCCAAAAAGGATGCAAAACGCGCCGAGTAGGGTCTCCATGCCGAGATCAAACAATCCCCTTGCTTGGGTTGCTCTGGGGGTGCTTTTGTGACCTGGGGGACTGCATTCGAGCCCTTCGAACCCATCTTTGAGCCCTCATGTTCCGGACGATCTCGTGGCCATTCTGCGGCATCGGAAGCCCATTGGGAGCCACAAACGGCGATAGGCAGAATTCATTACACAAGTTTCACGTTGATTTTTGCAGCCGATTCATGCCCTTCGGGGCACATCCCCATGGGAGGCTCCATTCCATTCCCATCTCAGGACGTCTTGAAGCGGTCGTGGCTGTTGTCGGAGGTTACGTAGGCTAGAGTCCCGTCGTCGTCGTCGTCGTCCTCCTCGTCATCCTCGTCGTCGTCCTCGTCGTCCTCGTCTTCGTCGTCGTTGTCGTCGTCGTCGTCGTTCTCATCATCCTTCTCCATTTCTTTGGCCAGTTATGGCATCGTGGGTCTCCTTTATGTGTTGGGAAGCTGCCAGTTTGCAGGGAGTATGAGGTCTACCTCCTGTGCGCCGCCTGGCCAGTTCGCTAGAAGAAGGGGCTGCCTGCAAAAACTCGTGCCCTACTCCCTTACGCCCAGCGGGATCATAGGATTTACACTTCTCGTCGCCACATATTCCCCAAGACGTTATTCAGTACTTCTCCAGACAACGAGGGTCTAAGTGTCCAGCGGATGACCTCAAATTTTGCCACCCGCCTTATGTCACCCTTCATCCACCAGAGCCGTACAGTCGAGACCAATGACAGGGATGGAACACCTTCCCAAGGATACCTTTGAATCCGTGCCTCTTTGGTTCATCCTTAATCACTTTCGATGGCCCGCCGAGTTCGAAAAAGCTTCTCGGCATGGGCGTCTCAGGGGCTCGCATACTTATCGCGCATCTTTACTAACAGCTTTGACTGTAGGAGGGGGAGGGCTCGGTAGCAACTCGTGGGAGTCTTGTATGTCCTCGAACTTCCGTTATTGAAGTGCACTAGCGTGCGCCAGCGTTCGGCAATCGATAGCGAATCGCCGATTTAGCGTCGACTGGCATCGGCTTAGCGTCGGTTGGCGTCCAAGGGGCTTGTATGCAAGGGGCTTGCATCCTTACCGCGCGTCCTTACTAGCAGCTTTGACTGTATAGAACGCTGTGGCACGATGCCGTCGCTGCGACGAGCGCGTCGCGCCGCTGCGACTGGCGCTCCTGAGGCCCGCTGGGATTTTGGAGCTGTCCCGTGGTCACTTCAGCGGGCCTCTCGGGCTCGTCCTAGGGCCCCCCCGGGACGTCTCAGAGCTTACACGCGGGTTGTTGAAAGCAGTGTTTTGGATTCCCGGATCCCAGCCCTGAGAGTTTGGCGGTGCATTTTTTTCACACCAGGCATTTTGGCTCAGACCGATTCGGACATTCAATATGTTGATTTCGAGACACTTGTAGCTGATTCTGACGACACCCCCACTGCTGCTGTCCACTTCATGTCTGCGAGTTACATGAACGCCAACCTGTCTCTCGAGAGGTACGCCGAGGAGCTCTACGAGGAAGTGTTCTTCGGCCATGAAGAGATTAATCTCGCAGATTGGCGGGGCATCCCGATCGCGGGGCAACCTGCTTACATGGATATCATTGAGGATGACGAGTACTAGTCATCCGCCGAGTCGGAGTACGAGATGGCGGGGACACCTGCGAATTCTCATGGATACAAGCCAGACGACTCTGATGATGAAGCGATACCGGCTACAGAAGATGAGTTACGACAGTCACTCCAACCGCAGGTGATTGGGAATCTAATGTGCGTGGTAGCTTGCGATGAGGACCCTGTCGGGGTAACCCGCGTGACACTTGTGATCTCTCTCAACGGATTCAATGCGCACTTGGACACAATGAAGGCTCCCACTCAACCTTTGTACTACACGATCGCCCATCGAGCCACAGGGCTTGGAGGCGTGTGGATCGAACTGACGACGATGAAAAATGGGAAGCTGAAAGCAATCCGCCGTGCCACCGTCAAAGTCATTTCCGTAGGCGTTCGCGTGCCCGCTCAAGCGGCACGCAACGCCCGCGCAGACGAGCTCCGAGCGGCTTGCCAGCAAGTGCCCAATCGCGGGGTAACCTGCATCAGGACGATGGGGGCTCCGATGGGCCCACACGCGAGCCTCGCTTCAAGGAGGTCGGATGCCACAACGACGGCATCGGCCCGCCAGAGCGTACCGCGGGACGACATGGAACACTGGCGGGCGCAGGGCTACACCGACCACCGGATCCGTCACGATTGGTCGATGCAGTATGTGCGTCGGGGTCCCGACGCTGGAAATGTGATCCATTCCTGCAGGGCTAGCGACACCCAGCAGCCCGCCAAACTAGAAAAGAAGGCTTACACAAGAGGCATGTGTTCGGATCGGTTGACATTCCGAGGGGTGGTCTGTGGGTGCGAGCACTTCGCGGACCACGGGCCGAAGTGCCCGATGGGTCGCCCTTCAAGGAGTCTCACTTTTGAGAGAAACCCATGGGTCTGGTCGCACGGGGATGGCCAGGGGCGAAAGGTAGACCCGGGCTGCCACCCCGGACACATGCACTTGACCACGGTGGACTACAAGGAGCTGGGTGACTTGCAGGCAGCACTCGTCGAGAGGGGTTGGCCAGCCGAGGCTGGAAGAGAAGACAGGGCTGCAGGCGTCGCGCCAGTTGTTGACCCCGCCTTGCCTGCGTCTGAATATGTATATGAAACGTGCACTGACGACGACGCGGACACTGCCGTGGACGTCGATGTCACCAGGGGTTCGCTCAGCAATGAGGGCGTGAGCCCTCATGCGCTCCAGTAGAGAGTCAAATTGTTGCTGAGTCCTTGGCATTTGGTGGTTCGGTGGTTGCAGTAGCTGTTGTGCGCGCGAAGCACCGACACCTAGGGCCCTGAACAGTATGACTGTCAGGATTTGGAAATTTCGGATGTTGAGCCCCGCAGTGTCAGCTTCAAAGCGTGCGTTCTCGGAACGTGCCAGCGTCTGGTCGTTCCGTTCTCCCGCGTGGGCACGGAAACCGATGAGAGCCGTCCCCGAGATCAGTTGTCTTTCATCTGAAAGATTCTCGAACTTACTTAAAGCTGATGAGGAACATTGTATGGGTTGTCCCATCGGCATGGCGTCCACCAGCGTTCACTCCAAAGTTAATCGCTGCTGGGGGGACTCTCATAGCGATGGTTCTTGCGAGACCTCCAAGGCCGCGCTGTGAGGCAGCGGCCTGCTAGGAAAGAGTCATGGTGCCTGTGGTCACGTTGATCCAGGCATGCACCTCGCGAGCGAATTCGCGGAAAAGGTACGTTGCCAGCAGGGTCCCACTGGGGGCCGGTAGTGCGCGCGTCGTCTGCGCCACGTTGCATGTGTCCAACAGCGCATTTGATGGCGACTCAGAGGATGCCAAATATAGTGATGCCGATCCAGTGGCCTCGTAGGTCGGTGTGGGTTGTGGGTGGCTGTTGTTTGTTCGGTTACGTTACCGTCAGTTTGCGAGGAGGTGCAGGCGGCGCGATGTCATCGCGCATGTTACCATGCATCGTATCGTCGAAGAAATTACCAATGGGCTTTGGTGGGTGGACTTTAGGAGTATAAGTCGCGCAGAGATGTAGGTCCCGGGTAGGATACCTCTGCGTGAGCAGAGGCTTCAGTGCAAGTGTCCTTGCGATGGCCATGGTCTCTTCCGCGTAGAGCCACTGCGTCCTGATGGTCCACCATATCAGTCGTCCACCAGATAGCGCCGTGGATAGCAAGGGGTAGAACTAGAGCTGGCCACCAACGGCCAGCTCCGCAACCAAGTTTAAAGTGAAGTGGTCGGCCCAACCAAATACTCCGCCTTAGTCGTAGCAGCCGACTAGCCTTGTTGTGTCGTAGTAGCGATAGAGCAGGATATATAAGTTGACCGCGTGAGCGGCAAGATGACATATAACGGGATTGTTTTCCGCATCGATGTTTGGTAGTCTGCCGCAGCGCGACGCAATCAAATAGGCGGCCCGCTGCTAGAGCCCAAACGGCCGCGGACAAACGCTCGCTAACTCTCGCCTTCGCCCTTCCTCCTTCGGAGTATAAGGACCTCCGGGGCGGCCGAAAACAACCCCAAAAGGGTTTCAAGACATCCCCGCGCTCAAGAGGGCCCAGAAAGCCCACAAGAGACCTCCGCGAAACAGGTCTTCCTCTATATAATATATCGTAAATCCCCCGCGGCGGATCCAGGCAATCTGCGAATAGTTGACTTGCGAGTACTGGAGCGCGCCTGTCCATTCCTGCTTCATGTTTCTACCTACTTCTTCTTCCCGCGGGCGGGTACGCCCAGGGCCTCTGCGAGGCGTCATAGGGGCTCGACCCGTGGTGGTGGACCTGTTTTCCACCACCACCACCATAAGAGGTTGGAGGGGGGAGGGGGTCTTCCTCCTCCTCCTCCTCCTCCTCCTCCTCGTCCTCCTCCTCGTCCTCCTCCTCCTCCTCCTCCTCCTCCTCCTCCTCCCTTCCCCCTCCAACTCGTGGTGGTGGTGGTGGTGGTGGTGGTGGAAAGCAGGCCCATCGCGTGGTCGGCTGGGTCCCGAATGTCATAACCCCCTCGATCCTGTCGGCCAGAGGCTTCCAGGCGGCTGGTGTTCGGGCGCCTCCTCCGGGCGTGGCTGGCCCTTGTGGAGGTTGGGCTCCCTTGCGGGCAGGGGGCCCAGGGCCTCTCCACTCGGCGCTGGGGGCTGGGGAAGAGGGGAACCCACAGTGGCGACCCATGCCAAGAGGCGCCTTACTTGCCCCCACGGTGCCCTGGGTTTCTGGGGTTTCGATGGTTTTGTGATGGACAGCGCGACGTTCCCAAGCCAAGGATCGATGGACGCCCTGGGGTCTCAGGGTTGGGTTTCTTGTGGGAGGTTCCTTGTGGGCTGGCTTTCGCTGTAACCCAAGCCGAAGGCTTCCTGGCAAGGCCCCACGCGCCGCCGCGCCGGGTCCCTGGCAGGTTGTGCGCGGCGCCTGAGGCCCCCGGAAGGCCCGACACCCATTCCCCAGGGCCGGTCTTCCATCCCGAGTCGTTCTTCTCTCCGACGGTCCCGGGGCCCGGCGAGGGCATCTTGAGGCCCGAGAACAGCGAATCGTATCCGTACCCATAATCTATATATTTATATATGTATTATATTGTATCATATTGTATTATAGTTGCTTATATTATATGATATCATATTCTGTCATGTTATCTTATATTACGTAACATGATATTACACAATATCATGTTTGATTATACTATACTATACAGTTACAACTTTTATTATGTTCTAATGCCATATGTTATACTCAATTGTATTGTACTATATTACGTTATATTGTATGTATTTTGTTATATTATATTACAGTATATCATGGTATATTATGTCATAGTGTATCACATCATATTGCGTCATATTATAGTATATTATAGTGCATTGTATTATATTATATCATATCGCGTTACATTAAATTACAGAATGTCATATCCTATCATAGTATATACTATTATAGTATAGTATAGTATAGTATAGTATAGTATATTATGTGATATGTTATATTACGCTGTGCTATACTATGTAATATGATACTGCATTCCATGTTACAATAATTCTTATTATATAATATTATATCATATTATAGTATGTAATATTATAGTATATGTTATATTGTATTATATTTTTAGTATATTATATTGTATTGCCGTATAGAATAGTATAGTAGAGTATAGTATAGTATAGTACAGTATATTATAATACATTGTTTTATATAGAATATTATTATCATACCATAGCAAATTATAGTATATTTTATTATAGTAAAGTACAGTATAGTATCTAATTCTATTACATATTTTCAATATACTTATACATTATATTTTATCATATCATATTATATTAAATTATATCATATTATATTATGTTATATCCACTTGTTTTTTTATTTTATAATATTACATTGCGTGTTTCATATGATTTTATATGATATTATAGTATGGTATATCATATCATATTGTATTATATTATACTATACTATATCATATTATCTTCTACTATGTTATATTATATCATACTAGACCGTAGTATTTCATATCATCGTATATTGTATTTTTTTGTTATAGTAGATCATAGTATATTATATTTTGTTACATTTTATTACAATATATCATATTATCTATACAAGACTTCATTGGCGCTTCGCGCCATGCGCCTTGTTCCAGACGCTTCTCGGAAAAGCAACAAGTCATCGCGTGTTTCAGCAGAGGGGGCGTCGAGACCACGAATGCGACCACGGTCACGACGACCACCACCACCAGCACCACCACAACCACCACGACGACGACGACGACGACGCCGACGACAACGACGACGACGACGACGATGGGGCTTTCGTCTGAACTGCAGATGGGGCGCTCGTCGCTCGAGGGCCTCTGGAAGCTCCCGATGGCACCAGAAGCGCTCAGAAAATTGGCCCTTCCTCGTCGTCGTCGTAGTCCTCCTCCTCCTGCTCCTCCTGCTCCTCCTCTCGGTCAGGCCGCGGGAGCGAGCGCTCGAGGCGTCAGTAAGCGGGTTACGCAATAATGAGGCGGCAGTCCGCGATGACAGGCCGAGACCTCCTGCTCTTCCGTAGGACGACGACGACGGCGGCGGCGACGACGATTGGTCGTTTCCTGAATGCCTGGAGGGGTCCTGGACGCTTGTGGGGCTTTTGAGGTCCTCTCGAACCACCGTCCTGCGAACTACGGCCTCGTGGAGTGTAAGAGAACTGCTGGAAGCTATATTGGAACGGTGTGGGCTCGCGTTTGAGCTCCTGGTGACTCTCCGGACCAGAGGACTCCTTTTGGGGCTGTTCTGGGCCGTCTTGGAGCCCTCTTGGGCCGTCCCGGAACCCTCTTTTGGCTGTTTTGGGAGGCCGGGCTGGCCAGGGGCTTTTCGGGGGCCCTCTTGGGACACTCTTGGGGGCCTCCTGTGGCTCTCTTGGGGCTCTCTTGGGAGTTCTCGGGGCCCTCTGGGGCCCCTCTTGGGCCGCCTTGGGTTTCTCTTGATCCGTCTTGGAGCTGTTTTGGGCCGCTTTGGGCCGCTCATAGAGGCATCGGAGGCCATCCTGGCGCGATCTTAAGAGTCTCTGGGGAGGCCTTGGACGCTGCGAAAGCAGAAAAAGCTAATATCTTCAAAAGCGTACGTTTCCCAAAGGGAATGGGGCGATTTTTGGCTCTTGGGTGTCCCTTTTGGGGCCTCTTGGACCGTCTTGGGGGCCTCGTGGGCCGTCTTGAAACCATAGTGGTCCTCTTTGAGCGCTGATGGGCCGTCTTGGGGCCCGTTTTTGGCCCGTGGGCTCCGATCGGCAGGGGCGTCCAACTGCCTGGAAGGCGCCGGGGCTCCGAAAGGGCGTCCAGGGCGTTCGTTGGGTAGAGGGCAGGGGCGTCTGGGGTGTCGTGTGGGGGAAGGGGGGGGGGGTCCGGTTTTTCGGGGGGGGGGAGGGGGGGGGGGTCCGGGTATGCATGTATGTATGTATGTATGTATGTATGTATGTATGTATGTATGTATGTATGTATGTATGTATGTATGTGTGTGTATGTATGTATGTATGTATGTATGTATGTATGTATGTATGTATATATATATATGTTTTTTATACACATATACATGTACTTATATATGTATATACACATATATATATATATACATATATATATATACACATCTGGATTCCCAGATTCGGCGGCGGCGCCGGAGGCTTGGGGGGATGGCCAGAGGGCCGGCGATGGCCGGAGGTCAGTGCTTCCTGACGGCCGACCCCAACGGCCAGTACCAGTGCTACCCCAGCGAGGCCGGCGCGGGATCGGAGGGGTGGGAGGATCTCCGAGGAGGAAAGGTGCATACCACTACCATTCCCTCGTTTTCCCCCTCTTCGGGCCTTATGGGATGCCCTCGTCGCCACCGCTGGCCTCGCCTCGAACTCCTGGCCAAACCGCACCCCAGGAGAGGTCCGGGGAGTAGCAGTATCGGTACCTTGTGGTTTCCCCAGTACCTCCTCCTCCATCCTCCTCCCTGCCTCCCCCAAGAAAGGGCGCGGAGAGGAGTGAAGAGGAGGGATGAGGAGAGGCGGCGGCGGCGGACTAGGGCAGTGTCGTGAAGACGTGCTCACTTCTGTTGTGAGGAGCCCAGGACCTGTACAAAAGTGAGGGCCCAGGTCAACTCACAGAGTCAAACTTGAAAGAATCCTGGCCAGTCCAGGGAGCCACCCGTCTGTGTCGACGTGCTTTGGCCTCAGCTCTGTTGGCTGCGATCCTGGCCAGCTGGTCTGCTGTGAGGACGGGGGCAGAGGGCGGGGGAAGGGGAGGAGCCAAAGGAGGCGAGGAAGGGAAAAGGGAAGGGGGAACCCCGTCCTCTGCTGAAAGAGCTCCGGCCTCCTTGGGCGTGGAGTCGATGGGCGCAGGGTAGCGTTCCTGCGGCGGTGGGTGGCCGGATTCCTCGGCCGGGGAGGGGAGGGAGCCAACAGGAGGCGAGGCTGGGGGAGGAATCCGTTTGCACACTTCAGGGTCACCGCGCTTCCTGGAAGTTGCGGTGTGCTGTGCAAAGTCTGGCGCTTCCCAGACTTCCTCTGTCAACTCGACTCTGAAGTCTGATAGCCTTGCATCAGTAGTACCCTCCTCTTCCTCAGGGGCCACATCCGAGGTGGGGGGAGGAGATGTGACATCTTCTTCCTCCTCTGATGGCCATGCACTCTGTACTGCATCGTGCATAGCTCGAGCGATGGCGGCACACATTCTGTCGGGGTACGTCTTTTTTTGGAGCTGGTCCTGAAAATTCGGTGATCTTCTCTCTTCCCTAGCAACGTGATGTGTATGCCTTTGTCGTGGCAGCACCTCCCCCCATTAACGGCCGTGAGATACTGGAACATCTTGGGGAGCCTCAGAGCGAGAATCCTGGTGGGGGCTCTTCCTATCGTCTCTGGTGGTGCGTCCTGCAGCGTGCATGACATGCTCTGCCGTGAAGAGGATGAGAGAGTGGAGTAGCTTATTCCCTATCTCGAGCTGGATCGCTTGCTCGTGCGTACTCCGTGGCGCCCCCACAGTAGTGAGTGTGCGTCCTGAGTGGCACTTGATGTGTAGCTGTTTCTTGAAAAGTCCTGCGGTCGGACGAGGCAGTATCTTTCCTGAGCGGGGTCCATGGCCTCCGGAGGCCGTGGGCCAGGTCGTTCGTACCAGACATCGGTCACGGTCAGAAGCGCCTCAGGATTGAGCTCGTAGCTGCATTCTCGCAATACCTCTCTGGCAGCATTCTCCTCCACATGTGAAAATGCCCAGGCAGATTCCCACAGCATACCTTCGGCACACTGTGCTGGGGTAGCTGGGTGCGCCGCTCTCCACCGTCCTAGACCTGCCTTTCGCTGGTCTTGGCCGTGCTGGCGGTCTCTCTCTGCTGCCTCCTCCGCTGCAGAGGCTGATAGCTGTATGCCGTGCATGAGGCGAGAGAGGCAGCATCTTGCTGAGTCGTATGCGAGACGTCCACTGAACTGTCGTCTGGATGCACATTCTGTAGCGCACGCTCTGCACACTGCTGTGTTCCCCATGTGATACTCCACCTGTGAGACCAAGGTATAATGCATGCGTGTGACATGTTGCTTGAGTGCTCTGGCTTTGGGAAATACCGTCGAACACCACGGACATACGTAGGTGGTTGGCGCTTGTCTCTCTGCTGCTCTCAGGGGATGATCTGGACGTGTGGCTAGGCGAGGAACACCACTGGACTGCACAATCTGAAATATTCTCGCTCAGCCTTGCCAGCCAGTGTCGCCCTTGCCTGCGCACACGTCGCTCCGTGTTGCACGATCTTCAAAGTCTGCCTCCATGCCGTGAGGGAGGCTCGGATACGTCTTTCCCATGGTGCCAGATCTTTGAACGGGCTGGGCAGATCACGATCTGTGTTGTGTACCGAGCCTAGCCACTGCAAGTCTTCTAGTATATGGTGAATCTGTGAATCCACGTTAGTTTCTTGGCATGGTGCGTGATGGAGGTACGGCACGCATGTGCTAGTATACCTAGAAGGAGAGCTGATCCATGATGGAGAACTCTACCTAGTAGCCGTAGCCTGTGTATGCGTAGTTGTATGTCCAAGTCGAGCCGCATGACTGCCGCTAGTCCCCCCTGGTCAGGAACCGCCGGGTCGTCATGCCTGTGAAGACCTGCTGCTGCTGTGTACCTCTTTAGGATGTTGTTGCGTAGAGTCTTCATAGCTCCCTTTTCCGGGTGTATCCAAGTGCCTGCGTTGAAACGTAGGGGAGACGTGATCAGAGCATCGACACTTCACATCTTGATGTCTGTCTGGTCTCCCTTGTGCAGCACACTCGTCCTCGCTTTGCTGGTCGTTGAGAAGCTTGGAAACCTCCATGGCTGACGGGTCCCTGCTTAGTGCCAGGAAAACATGTCTCCTTAGGACTTGGGAAGACTGGGCGACCCCTGCAATCCTGTGCGCGACTTCAGGTCCCGCTGCTCCTTTTTCGTCCAGGATGGTCCCGAGGTGGGGGTATTATCGGACCGCGCAGATAGTGACCAGTGATGTCGGTTTTAGCCCCAAACTTGCCTTGTCGTGTCCTCCAGAGGTCGATTTTGGCGAGCTTGGCGTGGGTACCGAAAAACTGAAAGAGCAGCTCCGACTTACCTTTCTTGAAGTTGAGTTGGAGCCCTCGCTCCAGCAAACTTGACGCAACTATGTCTGCAACGTCTGACGCAATTTCAAGGAGGTGCATGGGCAGGCCTAGTACTGCCAAAGCACCGTCGTCAAAAAGCACATGTCCACTGCAGGTGTGGTCGTAGCTGGCTCATGTGTAAGTCGCTGAGTGAGTGACGCACCTTCTAGTGTCGGTATACTCGTAGGTATGTGTGTAGGGAAATAAGCCGTTGTTTAGCCAGCTTGACACTCAGCCACAATGACATTGAAAACCACGTCCCCCAGTTGTTGTCCAGGAACCGTCCCCATCATAGGAAACGCCACCAGAGTAGATCACGGGTAGGTGAACCAAGAACCGTGGCAGGACGAGGGCGTGAGGGCCGCCAGATGTTGGCCCATTTGGGCCTTGTCGAGATCCGTGGGACCCTCCCTGAGACAATCCATGAGGCGGTGCATTGCAGCTCGCGTCAGCCCTGTGAGCTTAAGTAGCATGGCAACATCTTCCACCGTATTGCATGTAGTCATGACCAGTTGACGTAGAGATTTGTAAAGGGCTTGCACAACGTCCACCAGCAAAAACATGATTGAAACATGCTGGACTTGGGCAAGGTTGGAGAGCGATCTGATGGCCAAGCCTGCCAAGTCGACTCCTCTGCCCGCAATTCTTCCGAACTGCGACTCTCCAGCTTGTTCCAGCAAACCGACCGCTAGGGGTGTACGTAGTAGTGTGCGAACTTTCTCTCCAATCTGTGGGGGATCATAATCGTTCTGGAGTTGATGGGCCATGATGGGTCACCTCTTCGTTTCCAGATATTACAGTAGCTTCCCCCCCTTCCATTGTACTGGCTCCTCTATCCGTAGTACGGCCTCAGTGACGACTGGAAAGTAGATGCGACCGAAGTCAGTGCCGAGCTTAGCCAACAGCCTGCCCGAGATGCCGTCCAGGCTGGGCGCTGAGGCGCGAGACCGCTTGCAAGCGGTCTGAAACTGAGCGAGTGCTGGCAAACATGCTTGTTCTTGGGCCACTCCGTTGACGTCAGCTTCTGGCAAAGGCTGGAGCATGTCAAGAGCTGCCTGGGCATGCGCGATCGGAAAAACTGTACTAAGCTCCTCCTTGCCAAAGTGCCTTAGCCAGATGTCGGCTGCCTCGGTCGTGCCAGAGGCTGGCGTGCCGTTGGGATGCCTTATTATTGGTAGTGACCGTAGTAGTAGTAGTAGTAGTAGTAGTAGTAGTAGTAGTAGTAGTAGTAGTAGTAGTAGTCGTTTCTGGGGCCTGGCTCCCATCCGTCGTAGAGTTGCGAATACTTACCTTATCCGTGTGGTGCTTGGACCATTGTGAAAGTAGCTGGTTACCTAGTGAGCGGTAGTACTGTATGGCGTCAGCTTGTGAACTCATTCTTACTATGAATGTGTTGTGTAACTGTATCAGTTCCCTGCATGCAGCTCCCTGTCCTGAGAGTAAGCGCACCAATCTGTGAACGACTGCGCAACGCAGCAAACCCCGTCCGTGCAGGGTCGTGTTGTCAAAGGCAGACACAGAGCAAATCTCCGCTTTCGTCTTGTGCGCAATGCGTAGCCACTTGGCTCTTCTGTGTGTTGTGGTGCTCGGTTGCTGTAGTCGCTGCGATTCCCTGAGCGTCTCCATGAGATCTGTACGTACTGTGCTGCATGCACGTATGCTTCATTCCATAGGTCCCACCAATGTATCTAGAGCGGGGGGGGGGGTCGTATGGTAGTGGTTCACAGAACATGTAAGCATCGACGTGCCTAGCATGGTGTGTGCTGTGCGCCCAGAGAAAGAAGAACATGGCTCTGCTGAGTCTTCCGACCTGTGTGCGGAGAGCGCGCGTATGTCGAAAGCGTGTGGTGCGTCGGTCGATTGCAGCCAGTGTGCCATTATGTATCCAGCACTGGCGTGGCTGCCTTCTGCTTTCCGTCTTGCGCACTGGGAAGGCTTGTTGCATCGCCTCTCGCACGTGCGAGTCAAGTATGTGTGTGTGTGGTCTGTGCTATGTACGTTGTATTCCACCGCTGGCGCCTCTGCAAGCAGCCTCTTAAACTCGCTGCGTGCATCCAGGTCGTACAAAGCAGGATCATGTGGGATTCCCTGCGGTGCTGATCGCTCTTGTACGTGCCAAGAGAATGGGAGCATTACGA